CCAGGCAATTCCAGGCTGGGGGAAGGAATTGTAGGCAGAGGGTTGCTATTTTTTAATAAATGAATATAAAAATATTTGTCTTATTCAGGAAGAGGGTAAAAGCACCAATTAAATTTAGACTTTTTTTTTACCTTTCAAATCAACAGAGTTCAATCAAGGGCATAAAGAACACCAGATAAATCCGAAGAAAAAAGGGAAAAAAGAAAAGAAGAAAGAGAAAGCACAATAAATAGAAAACACAAAATAAGATGGCAGAAATTATTTTAAATAGAGCAATAATCATAATAAAGGTAAAAAGAGATTTGCTGATTAAATTACAGATTGATTTTTTTTTAATTTAGGTATAAAGAGTTTACTTAAAATAGAAGAATGACATATATACACACACATACACACACACACACCAGACAAAGGTAATTTTCTTTAAAGTGGATTATATAATCCACTTATATAATCTTAATGTCAGACAAAGTAGAATTTAAAGCAAAAAGTATTGGGTCTTAGAGAAACTGCCTACTCAACAAAAAAAAATTTAATAAAATAAATAAAATACCTATGAAATTTATGTATCTAATAACATAGCCTGGTACTATCCCAAACAAAAACTGACTTATAATTAGAAGGAGAAATTAACAACCCCACAAGGTTTATGAGAGATTTTAATCCCTCTCTCAAAAACTGGTAAAACAAGACCAAAACATTTAGAATAGAGTTTGGAATATTTTAAAGACTTATATAGAAGGGAGATAAAGATAGAAATTTGCATCCCAAAACAGAAATTATATATTCATTTCAAGCATGGGACATTTACTAAAATTGGCCACATACGAAGCCACTAAGAAAGTCTCAACCAATTTCATGAAACTGACATTTGAAATTCATACTGATTTTAGAAAATTTGGGAAACATAGATGGTTTAAAAGACAAAATCAAGATTATCTGTTATCTGGCTAGAGTTTACCTCTTTTAATATTTGGCATATTTCTTTTCAGTCTTTTTCAAAATGTGTATTTATGCTTTTTTATTCCCCTGAGGTTCTTTTTGTAATATTGAGATTTACTAATTCTTTTTGTATCCTGTTTTGCAAATAATAATCCCAGTTTATTTCCGCTGGAGGAGCATTAGTCTCTCTTATGAAGTCATGTTAATGGAAAGCATTTCTGCTCCTTGCAACGATGTGTGGTCCTTAGCAGAAAATTAATATTAACAGTCGTAAGATGTTCTCACGTCTAAATAAATCAACGGGAAAATGGCACGGCATGCTTTGGGGGAGAGGTGGAGGAGGACGGAATCGGAGTCGAAGCAAAACCAGATTCTCACTCTACCCAAAGGACCAAGGAGCCTTTGTCCCCAGTTCAGAGCCAGCAGGAGCCCGGGCAGGGGAAGTCCCCATTTACACCGGCTGCCGCCTGAAAGGACCGTCACACAAATCACAGGCGCAGACCCGGGGGACGGCTGGCGTTACACGGGAGCCCGGGAAGGAGCCAAGGAAGGATTGGGACTGGGAAGATGGAGATTGAGAAAAACAAGTCATTATCAAAACGGGACACCCTCCAAGAACATGGAGTCTTTCTCTGCCCCTCCTCCCCTCACCTTGTTGAGTCTAAATAAAGTCACGATTGTCAGCCCTCTGCTATTTGAGCCCTTAGGGGAAAGCACTGTGCAAACGTGCCGCAGATTCCCGGGTGGCCGGCGCAGGAGAGAAGGGCGTGGCGGTACTGAGGGCGCGGGAGGGACGGAGCGTGCTCCTCGGGAGGAGAAAGGATGCGGAGCCGCAGGAAGCATCCCAGGGACGAAGGCTGCGGGTCCCAGCCTTTTTTGCGCAGCTCCTGCCACAGGGGAACCACGCCCACTAAGGGACAAAGCCCGGACGCCTGAAAATTATTCTTGCGAGAAACCCTCCTCTTATTTCTGAGAAATTCGCGTAATTTCTGTTTCAATGCCTGGCACGCAGTAGAGCTTGATACACTTTAACTACTACCTCGGCTTCTTTTTTCTCTAATTGTAATACAATGGTTTGAGGCACAGGCTTTGGTTTGTAATAGTCCTAGGTTGGAATCCATGCTCCAATCTCACTCGTTAGCTCTTTGTCCTCTGCGGAGTGGGCTCCCCACCAGCACTCTGACCCTGTTTCCTCAACTGTAAAATGGAATTAAATCTATGTACGGGGTTGAATTAGCTGATGTATATAAAGCCCAGCCCATGGTTAAATGGTAGCAGTTAGAATGATCGTTCAACATATACTGTATTTTGTTGGTCTTTCTTGAATTTTTTCCCCCATATTCTCTCCTTCTCCCTTTCTAGGTATTTATCTAATTATTTGGGGAGTAGGGAGGGTGTTATTTCTTTCAAGATCATTTTGAAATCTATTCCTATCTTTCAATAGCCTCATTTTTCCATCTCTATTCTGTTCATCCCAGTGTAGGGTGTCCATTCATGACTTCTAGTATGGGGAATATAGATTTAAATAAGTGTATAAATAAGTGAAATAAACATAGCCCATAGGTCCTTTGACAGGAGTTTATATGAGCACAAAGAAGGAAATAGTCAAATAAGAGTGGGTCCAGGCCAGGCTTGGTGGCTCACGCCTGTAATCCTAGCACTCTGGGAGATCAAGGCGGGAGGATTGCTTGAGGCCATGAGTTCAAGACCAGCCTAAGCATGAATGAGACCCCATCTCTGCAAAAAATAGAAAATTTATCAGGACATGATGGCATGGCCCTGTAGTCCCAGCTACTCAGGAGACTGAGGTAGGAGGATTGCCTGAGCCCAGGAGTTTGAGGTTGTAGTGAGCTATGATGATGCCCTCTGCACTCTAGCCAGGGCAACAGAGCAAGACTCTGCCTCAAAGAAAAAAAAAGAGTGGATCCATGAGATCCAGAAGGCTTTACAGAGGAAGTGATTCTTCAGCCTAGGCTTGAAATATTAGCATTTCAAATAAGGTAGCCCAGGGTTTGAACCTATGTTCTGCCACGTACCAGCTGTGGGTGAGTTAACTAATCTGGCCAGATGTCAGTCTTTATCAGGTATTCAATTAATATGGGAACACCTGATATATACTATGTACATGATATATATGAAGTCCAAGGAATTGACAGATAATAAATTTTCAATACATCCTATTTCCCTCTCCTTCCTCCCCTTTCCTATCTTACCTTTGCCATTATCTTCTCCCTACTAACTTTTTCCTCCATTCTCCTTCCTCCTCTCTATTCTTTGTTTATTTTGGTATCACCTGGAAACGTAATAAACTTCCCACTTATGGCCGGGCGCAGTGGCTCATGCCTGTAATCCTAGCTCTCTGGGAGGCCGAGGCGGGCGGATTGTTTGAGCTCAGGAGTTCGAAACCAGCCTGAGCAAGAGCGAGACTCCATCTCTACTAAAAATGGAAAGAAAGTAATTGGACAACTGAAAATATATAGAAAAAATTAGCCAGGCATGGTGGCGCATGCCTGTAGTCCCAGCCTCTCGGGAGGCTGAGGCAGGGGGATCGCTTAAGCCCAGGAGTTTGAGGTTGCTGTGAGCTAGGATGACGCCATGGCATTCTAGCCCAGGCAACACAGTGAGACTCTGTCTCAAAAAAAAAAAAAAAAAAACTTCCCACTTACAAAGAAAAATATGAAATTGTGTGGGCTATAGGTCGACCCATGGAAATGGTCTTCATGGAGATGCTGGTCCATGGTCAATTTCCATGGTTACCCATAAATAGTTGCCCATATTATCCATGGTATCCTTTAAGCCACATTTTCCCAGCTTTTTGAGAAAAGTGTAATGCAGGGTTGAAACACAGTCTTGTCAAAGATTGAGATCAATTTTGCCTACAAACACCCTCTGAACCTACCAGCCCTGAAAACTTTTCACTTACAATGAGTTTGGTCTTATAATAAGTGCTCTTTCACAATTCATATTGTGACAGCTTTTTAACTAGGCTCTCCTGGATCTACGGACGAAAATTTCAGATTTCCCAGGTCAATTCTTTGTTTTAAATGATGAGGATATCATTTCTTCACGTAAACTGCCATACCAAGAAAGCACAAGGAAAATTGAAAGGAATTAAATTTGCTTCTCTAGAGAAGAATAGGTCGGGAAGTAAATGAATCTCAGACGGCAGCCAGTGATGGGGATGTGTCACTTTGGCCAGTACTTTCTCTGACCTGGAGATCAAAGCCTGGTCTACCACCGCTGTTGGGAATACAGTCAGTCCTGACTTCAGCTATAGTTGATGCAGTCAGCTCCAACCTGAGTTTATCGACTTTCTGCCGCCTTTCTAAGAGATGGCTAGAGTTCAAGTCTGCCCAGCTCTAAACAGCATCATGGGATCACGGTCATCAACTCCCCACCTCCCCCATCGCACAATGAGGCAGCCACTCGCCTTCAAAGTGCTTACCATCAAAAAGTAAGAGAAGCTAAATATCACTAGAAGGTAGCACATGCATAGAGGAGTGAAGATTAATTTCTTCTCCAATCTGAGGGAAGCGGAGGTCACTATGAGCCGAGCTAGTGAAAACGGCTCCCTGAACGAAATCTATGGTGTGTTCTCCACGGTGTATGGGAAGCATTGCCTTAGAGCGTGGCTAAGGACATGAACTGCAAGCCACACTGCCATTGTTTGAAGCAGCTCAGCTCTGCCAATAACTATCTGTGTGACTGGGGCAAATTACTTCTCCCCTCTGTGCCTCGGTCCCCTCCTCCCTAAAATAAGGACAATCATAATAATACCTACCTCCTAGACTTGTGGGCAGAATGAGACGAGTTAAGACATGGGAAGCACATGGCACATAGTAAATGTTCATAAGGGTTACTGACTATTGCTATTTATGACACGGTTTTCTTGAGGTTGAGGAATGTACAAGCGAGTCTACCAAATGGTGTCTATGCAATTAATTAATTCTGTCTGGGAGGGGTGTTTGCGTTTAAGACACTGCCTAGAATGACTCCTCATGTCATCTTTAGGCGAAATGCTCTGCAATTGGTGCAGCTCGGCTGACACACGCCTGTACGCGAGGCTGGCGGGGCTGTGTCTGGTCTGTAAACACGCGGGGGAGCCCACGCTGCCTGGCGACTCGGGCCGCTGAATGCGAGCCCGTGTCCCGCGCGTGTCACCAGCGCACACGCTGATTTGAACCCTGCTAGACGTGCGTGTCATGGCTTAAAAATAGATGCTAATCCGTCCTCGCGACTCGGGCAGCGGCGGGGTGGCGGCGGCGGCGGCGGCGGCGGGAGAGTCATGGCCGTGGCGCTGCGGGCGCCTGCGATCCGCCGTGGGGACTGAGGCCCCGCGCACCGCTCGCGAAGAGGTAGAGGGGCTGCGGCGGGTCCCGGCCTCCCCAGCTGGCTCGCCCGGCTGGGGAGAGGCGCCCGGCTCGGGGCGCTGGGGGAGGGGGCGACAGGGAAGGGGACCTCGCAGCCGAGCGAGCGAGCAGCCTGCGCCCTTCTGTCTGGGCGCGCTCCCTGCGCGCTCAGCGCCGGGCTGTCTGGCTTGGCAAGGGCTGCGGCGACAGCCATGAACCTGTTACAACCGCGACAGCGCGCGGAGAGCGGCGGGCGGCCGACCAGGGCCCCCGAAAGCCGGCTGATGGGGCTGGAGGATGCCCGGGGGTTGGCATCCAGGGACAGAATGGGGCTTCTCCACACCCCTGAGGACAGAGTCCCAGGAAGCTCCTTCCTAGACCTGCACCGCTTCCTGCTTCCCCTTACCACTCACCGTCACGCAGGCAGCAGAACCGACTAGAAGAAAAGGTGGTTTAGGAATAAAGTGGTGGATGGAGGCTTCAGGCCTGAGGAGAAAAGGTAGATGAAGATGATGGTGATGGTGATGAGGATCATGATGATGACGACGGTGGTGGTGGTGGTGATGAGGGCTGTAGTGCTTGATTTCTATGTGCCTTCTGACCCAGTCATTAAAAAAAAAAAATGTCTCTCCCTAAACACCCTAAGGTCCAGTCTTGACCCTCACCAGCCCTGATCCTAAAACTCCTGCTTCTTATGCCCGTTAAGAGCTTGTTCTCTCCTGGCTCTGGGGGAAGGGAGAGCTGGGCCCTGGCTAAAGGTGCGGGATGAGGTCAAAACCTGGGCAGGGACAAACATGGCCTCTCCCTGCTGGGCATTTGGTCCCAGGTCCCTGAGGGTGGGGGAGGGGGGGAAAGGGGGTGGGAGGAGATTCTACAGGCGGCAGGGACCAAGGTGCGGCGGGTCTTGCCATAGTTGCCTCCCTGCCAGGAGGTCCCAGGGCAAGCCTCAAAGGCTGGCCCATCCCAGCTCTGCAGCTCAAAGCCGGCTCCACTTTGAGGAGCGCCAGTATCTGCAGGTAGTCTGAGACGCACCTGCTAAGGCCCTCGTTGCGCCCCGCGGGCTGTGTAGGGTCACTTGACTTCAACAGCAACACAGGTGGTAATTCTGAGGCTCTGAGCTCCTGGGCCTGGCAGGATGCATCATTTTTCCCCTTCCTTCCCCCTCCCAGGCCCCTACTCTTGGCCTCTTCCCGTTCCCTACACACATACACAGACACAACAACACTCCAGTCTTGTGTCGACTCAGAAACCCTCACATTATACATCAGGCCTGATGCTGACCAAAGAAGGGTGGTTTGCTTTTGTGCACATAGATCTGGCACCTTCCTCCATTAGCTCACGCATTCAGCAAGTATTTGTCCAATGCTTACTCTTCCTCTTTTCTGCTATTCCGAACTCATGCCATTTCCCACCCACACACCTGCACACACCTCTCCCATGACACATTTCCCTCTGAGGTGGTGGGGGCAGGGCAGGAAGGGGTTAAGACAGTCTCTCTCTCTCTGGCGCTGAGGAGGCAGGCCTGGCATGTGTCATGGCCCCAGCTGCCTTCGTCTTCCTGCTAATTCTGTGTGGGTGGGTCCAAAGACACCCTCAACGCCCCCCCCCTTCTCCCTAGACTCTCTGCCTATAGCCCCAGGCAGATGAGACCCACACTCAGGCTGGGAAGAGCCCCAGCAGTGGGCCCTGCCACCCAAGTGCCAAATGTGCGCGTGTGTGTTTCTGGATGTGTGTTGGCAGTGGGGGTGGGGTGTGGAGCAGAAGCCCAGCAGCTGGGCAGCTCCCTTTCCCCGTAAACAAGGACATGTGACTCTCCCACCTCCTTGCGTGGCAGAGCCAAAGAGCTGAGCAAAAGGCGCTGCCGCAGAAAAAGCTAAACCTGGAGGCCCCCACCAGGGCCAGACTTACCTTCTCTCCCTCGAGAACCTCTTCTCCAAGGCCCAGCCCCATTGGCAGGAAGGGGAGCAACTGCTCTGGACTCACTCAAGTGCGTCTCACACCCCTTCCTCTTCCAGCAACGGCTGCTTGGCGACTGACCCCACCATCACCGCAGCCACCCCTGCAGCTGCCACAGTTTCTGCCACCTCTAAGATGTGCCCTGGTAACTGGCTCTGGGCGTCCATGACTTTTATGGCCCGCTTCTCCCGGAGTAGCTCAAGGTCTCCTGTTCGCACTCGAGGGCCCCTGGAGGAGATGCCAAACGTTCAACACCCCTTCCTCAATGTCTTTGAGTTGGAGCGGCTCCTCTACACAGGCAAGACAGCCTGTAACCACGCCGACGAGGTCTGGCCGGGCCTCTACCTCGGAGACCAGTATGTACCGGGCAGACTGGGACCACGGCTGAGTGTGTGTGTGTGTGTGTGTGTGTGTGTGTGTGTGTGTGTGTGTATGAAGAAAGGAGAAGGGTGGCAGACAGCCAGTGGGTTGTGTCATTGGTTCCAGGTTGAAGATTAAGAGGAGGGGGGCACACATGGGCAGAGAGTAGAGGCTGGAGAGTTCGGGGGAGTTTGGACAGGATTATTGAAATACCCAACTCTGGACAGAAAGAGTCTGTGCCAGTAATAATGTCATGCATAGCAAATATTTATTTATTGAGCGCCAATGCTACATTGTGAGTACCAGGCACAATAGATGACTTCCCTGACCTTCCATCTATTGCACTGTGGCTCCGAAAAAAGGCAGTAACTGGAAGCCAGGAAGAGTAGGTAGTAAGCTGAAATGGTTCCTCTTGAGACCAAGCAAAGCCGCAGTGCCTGCGGAGATTCTGCAAGTTTGGGGGCTATGGAGACAGAAACATCCAAGGAAAAGCAATCTCCACTTCTCTCCCTCAAAGGGCATGACCGTATCCAAGGATTTTTTTTCACATGCATTTTCTCTCTTGATCTTCACGACAGCCTTGGGAGGTAGGTACCACTATCCCCAGGTTACAGATGAGGAAACTGAAGCTCAGAGAAGTTGTGACTGGCCCAAGGTCACACGGGGCGTAAGTAGCGGAGCCAGGACTTGGAGGTTCAAGTTCAGTGCTCTTTCTACTTGAGGAATTTGCACTGGACGGGGCGTTTGCCCTGAGATATGACCATGTTGTCTGAGAGGTGTCTACCACTGAGCTGAGGGGTGTGGGCCAGATGAACACCTGAAGGTGACATCATAAAACAGGGTAAACTCGAGCCATGGAATAACTACCAACATATAAGAGGTATCAGGGAAAATACAAAGTCACAGGGGAATTAGGTGCGGGAGTGAGTGTCAGAACCGTGTCCTCTCAAGGTTAGTGTGGACGTTAAATGTGAACAGGTCCAGCAGCCCACCCGATGCTCAAATCCCCTCTGCAACACCCACGCCTAACGCTGATCTCCTCTTTCGGCTTGAATGCCACAGTGACAGGAAAGTCACTCTCCCCTGAGGTGCGCCAGTCTTTCCTCTGCTGGATCACACTGTCAGGACATACTCCCTTGCATGAAACTGAAATCTGTTTCTCTGGAGCGTCAACTCTTTGAACTCGGTTCTACCCTTTAGGACCCTACAGATCAAAGAGAATCTCGCTTCCTCAGAGCACTCGTTAAATATTTTATTGTGACTATTTTCACCCCAACTCCTTAGTCTTCTTTTCTCCCAGCAAAACACCCCCAGCATTCTCAACCACGCTCACGGAATGAGACTCCAAGTCATCTCCCATCTTGGTTCGTCTCTTCTGGGTCACTAGTGAGTAGAGTAGAGGCCTGGGGCCAATGACAGGATCTAGGCAGTTGACAGGGTCTAGACAAGGGACTCATCCCCGACAACCTGGCTTTCACACCCTCCCTCTAACCTCTACTCAACACAGGGACATGGCTAACAACCGCCGCGAGCTTCGTCGCCTGGGCATCACCCACGTCCTCAACGCCTCCCACAACAGGTGGCGGGGCCCACCCGAGGCCTACCAGGCCCTGGGCATCCGCTACCTGGGAGTGGAGGCCCACGACTCGCCCGCCTTCGACATGAGCGTCCACTTCCAGACGGCAGCCGACTTCATCCACCGGGCGCTGAGCCAGCCAGGAGGTAGGAGGAAAGGCAAGGGAGGGACAGAGCAGTGGACCTGCAGTTGGGAAAAGCCCACGGTTTCGAGTACGAAGAGAACTTTCAGTGACAGGACAAAAGGCTCAGGCTAGAGTGTTAAGGAAAGAAAAAATATTCTTTCAATCATTTATTTTTTCAAGGCTATCCACAAAATGCCAAGTAGGAGATTATCCAAAATGTTAAGAATGGCAGGTTGCACCTGGGTGGTGAGATTAGGGGTGATAGAGTTTTTATGTTTATCTATTCATTTATTTATTTAATTGCAACATATTTAGGGGATACAAATGGTTTCTTGTTACATGGATGAATTGTGAAGTGGTGAAGTCTGGGCTTTTAGTGTACCTGTCACTCGAATAGTATACATTGTACCCAATAGGTCATTTTTCATCCCTCACTCTCCCCAACTTCCCTCTTCTGAGTCTCCAATGTCCATTATACCTGCAGTCTCCAACCCCCAGGCAAGACCGGTGCCAGTCCGTGGCCTGTTAGGAACGAGCCACAGAGCAGGCGAACAGCAGGCCAGCGCAGGAAGCTTCATCTGTACTGACAGCCGCTCCCCATGGCTCGCATCACCGCATAAGCTCCACCTCCTGTCAGATCAGCGGCAGCATTAGATTCTCATGGGAGCTCGAACCCTACTGTAAACTGTGCATGTGAGGGACCTAGACTGCGTGCTCCTTATGAGAATCTAACGCCTGATGATCTGAGGCCATGATGCTAGCACTGGAGAGCGGCTGCAAATACAGATTATCATTAGCAGAGAGGTTCGACTGCACAATAAATGTAATGTGCTTGAATCATCCTGAAACGATCCCCCACCATCCGTGGAAAAATTGTTTTCCATGAAACTGGACCCTGGTGCCAATAAGATTGGGGACTGCTGCATTATACCGCTTTGCGTGCCTGTGTGACCCATCGTTTAGCTCCCACTTATCAGTGAGAACATACGGTGTTTGTTTTTCCATTCTTGAGACACTTCACTTAGGATAATGGTCTCCAGGTCCATCCAACTTGCTGTGAATGCCATTATTTCCTTCCTTTTTATGGCTGAGTAGTACTCTATGGTGTATATATCACATTTTCTTTATCCAATCATCAGTTAATGGGCACTTAAGTTGATTCCGTATCTTTTGCAATTGCAAATTGTGCTACGATAAACATATGAGCACAGATTTTTTTTAAATAATAATTTCTTTTCCTTTGGGTGGATACCCAGTGGTGGAGTTGCTGGATCAAATGGCAAGTCCACTTTTAGTTCTTTGAGGAATCTCCATACTGTTTTCCAAAGAGGTTGTACTAATTTACATTCCCACCAACAGTGTGTAAGTGCTCCCTTTTCATGGAATCTGTGCCAACATCTATTGTTTTTTGATTTTTTAATAATGGCTGTTCCGACAGGGGTAAGGTGGTATCTCATTGTGGTTTTAATTTGCATTTCCCTGAATGTTAGTGATGTTCTACATTCTTTCATGTTTGTTAGCCATTTGTGTATTTTTGTTGTTGTTGTTGTTAAAGAACTGGTACCATAGTACATTTGTATATCTTCTTTTGAAAAATATCTATTCATGTCTTTTAATGGGGTTATTTGTTTGTTTCTTGC